GGTAACTCAACATGGCAATTCAAGATACAGATTTAACCCAGTGCCTTGGGATACATGTTTTTCTTACTCTTACTTTATAAAATTATCTTCTTCAGGCTAACTATTACTTACATTTAAACTTTCCTGATACTGTCCTGTTTTTTAATCTTTGACAATTTTGTAGTCCTTACTCTTCAGTTTTCTACATTTATCAACTTAGTCTAATATCTGTTGAAAATATGACTGTCTTAGTTATCACAAATTGGGTATGCTTATTTAAAAATACACTTTGTAATATAATTAAATAATACATCTGTATTATTTACAAGCACAGGGTAGTTTCACTTTGATAGCAATATTAATTCATCAATTGAAAATATTAGAAGAAAACAGATAAATCACTCTATTAAATTTTCAGGAAGTAAATTCTTCAAACTTTTTATATACACAAAGACTTTGAACTTGAATTGCACGAAAGATGGCAACTTAATTTAAAACACAACCACATTTTTGGGCCTCACACTGGAATTGGTCTGTTATGACTGATAAGTAAAAATAAACGCTAATAGGATTGAAACAGGTTATTCCCTATAAACCTTCTAAAGGAATTCAAAGACTTGTCTCTTGACATTTATTCATCAGAAACACATCACTGTCAGCTACTGCGTACTACTCATTGAAGCAATCATGACTTTGACTCTTTCCCTAGCTTTGACTTTAGCCAGCTCATATGAATCCTGGAGAAGGCACATCTACATTCGGCCTCATTTCACACATCAAACGATCAACAAATTTGTGACAAGCATCACGTTTGAGCAAAGCTCTGGGAGAAATAAAAAATGAGAAATGGGAGTTCATAATCAGGTGGTAGATAGAATTTAGTGATCTCTAAGGTTACTTTGTATTTTAAGACTTAGTTACGACTTTTTGGTAAGCCTCACGCAAGACTGAACAGGTTGGCATCATTAACAAAAACGATGGCCATGGTCGCACAATGCAATTAAAAAACATTTTTTTATACATTTCACCAAAGAAAATACCACAATGTTTTCACAAGTATCAAGACATGAAAAAGCATGGTCGGACCACGATTACAACTGTGAAGTGAGGCATGTGGGATTAAAACATTCAGAGAAGAGCCACATTCAGAGGCTTGTTGGAGCATGAGTTTGGTTATACTGTGCGGTCAAATCATGACCGTAGATGCAGAGGTCTCTCTCTCTCTCTCTCTCTCTCTCCCTCATTAAACAGAGAAAACTTAAAAGATGCTCTCTTATATAGTATCTTTAATTACTCAGCTACACAAATGACCTTAAATCAAGCACAGGCAAAATATAAATTGTAATAACATCACCTAGTGTGAAGGTTTTTAAAAATAATACAAAGTTCACTCACAGTGCACAAGTAGAAACAAAGTTGTTTTAAATATTTAAACATAGCCATGATTGTTCAAAAAGTACACATATTTGTAAGCACATTTCCATACTGCTAAAGGATCTGAAACTATAGCATATACAGGTTTAGAGAATTGAGATAAAAGGCATTACTTTGACNATTTCTTTTTACAGATACATAAATCTAAAATAAATAGATAATTATTAACTAAGGAATTGATCTTTCAAACCTACATTCTGAATCTTATCATATGTAAAACTCCCAAATTGTAAGGCTGGGAAACACCACTCTGTAATGTTCCGTACTCATTTCTATTCTATTCATTTGCATTTAGAGGCTACATTATTTGTGGGAAGAAGCCTGGAAAACGGGAGGTAATATAAAGAGGAGAGAACATAATTAAGCTACTAAGAAAGGCAGATTGCTCCACCTGTAAGAATAACTCTGTCGGTTCAACCATGAAGCAGCACTAACTTGCTTCCTACTGTGCACTGCCTACATATACTGATCATTTAACTGATAGCCTGACAAAGTGAATTTTACATATACTTTATAATTGTTCAGTTCCCTACAGAGCTTTGGTCACATTTTTTTTTATTGTGCAAATCCTGACCTGAAAAACAAATGATTCCTAGTCTAGTTAGAATTTAACTTCTGTATATTGGATTTCTGAAGTGATGTGTTTAAATCTGAATCATTTATAATTTTTGAACTATAGACACAACACAGAGGGTTTACTGTTGAGAATCTGAATTTTATTTTTTCTTTTAATAACATCTACATTTAATAAATACTTAGCTTTCAAAGAAAAAAAAGGCATGCTTAGTATGAGATCAGTGAAACAAAGAAAAAAAATATATTTTATCCATGAGAGATGTCATATTACTGAGGAGGATGGGGGAATGTCTGGATTTTTATACGGGACTTTTTAATATTAATTTTTATCATTTATTTATATATTTATATTACAAATACTGATCTCAAAGAAATAAAGACACCCCACCCCCTTTCTTAAATTTATACAAATGGATGTGATAAAAGTACTGACTTAACATCAACCTTTTGTTTGGGAGAAATCTGTAGAAATACAGCTGAGGGCATTTTTTCCTATCTAGAGCTCACAGAAATAAATATGGTCCTATAGGTTTGTAGTTGTAAGGGGGCTGTATTTTATAACTACAAAAGAGTTAACAATTGCATGATGCCTGCTCCAGTGAAGGGGTTTACCTACCGGCGGGCACTGGTCAGAGGGAGTTAATCTCTGCGGGGAACACTGGGCGGCTCCGCTCCCTTTCTGTTCACCCACTAGCCCTCCATCCAGACACCGGAAATGTTCTTGATCACTCACCTACCAAATAACAATGTATGTTGCTACTAGCTGCTGAAAACTGGATCTGCTTTTCTTATTAAACAGTATTAAAACAAATATTTACTGAATTCCCAATTTCTAAAATATTTTGTGATATCCTTCAACCTTGTATATTAAGTGTCAGGTCTTGAGAGAGATCACAATGAAGAATGTAGATATTAAATTTTTTAAAATGCAGGGTTGCAAGGGAATTGTTACCAAAACATAATCCGAAGAAAATTGTAAAATTAAGTAAACTGTAAAATAAAAACTATCATACAATGAGCATTTCTAGTAGAATAATAAAGGCTTAATGAAATGGTAGCAAAGAGCAGAGTTAAATGAGAAAGATATTTAAAGTCAAAAATGGCATATTTCTTAGTTTTAAAGTCCTTTAGCCAATAAAAAAATTATATAAAACACGAAAATGCTGTGAGCATATCACTGTAATTGAACTGCAATAAATTAAACTTTATATTTTTTCTTTAAATGTTCAGCTAAGATGGGTATAGTCAACATTATTCTAATTGTTGAAATAATTTCTATTTAAAATACAGTCTTAGGAAAGAAAGCCTTTTCCTGAGGCCTAGTTGAAATGTTTGACAATAGTCTAAATGCAATCAGTCAATTGATTATTCTCAATCTTCCCTCTCCTGTGTCATAACCCAATAGCTCTGTCAACAGGTAAAAAAAACCCAAAACACTGTTAACAGAAGGCGTAGCTTAAGCATACAACATCCAAAATGAATGATATTCAAATGGATACAGAGAGTACAAAAACATCAACTGAATCAAATAGGCAAGCTACCAGTGACTTAGCTTCTAAGGCAACTCTCTAAGCTGTCAATGAAAGGTTGAAATCTCTCTCAATGAATGTACGGGGAATTGTTGTAATCCAAATTACCCTATTTGAGGGGTTCTTTTGTTAACTAGTTTTCTTTCACATGATGAGTACAAACTGAATTATCATGGACAAAGAGTTTCTGGATAGAGAACATTACAGATACAGACAGTAACTTAGTGGGTTATCATCATTTTATATACAGTTGATAGCTTTTAAAAACTGCTGTAAGTTTTATTTCAAAACATCTAGCATTCTTTTTCTGGAAAAGAAAATGACATGGAGTAATATCAGCTAATTAATTAGTTAAACTAGTGTCACCACAAGTGAGACAACAAGTAGAAGAGCACGTTTCTTATCTTTGAGTACTGAGACTAATGGTCATACCACTTACATTATCTCAATTTGTCACTTTAATACAACAACATAGAATGTTAATGCCATTTCCACTGTTGTCCCACACAAAAGGCAGCTGGTGGTTAAAGTGCCTCTAACACGCATACATTATTTTTATCCCACGACTTTATTTTATGTTTAGAAAGGTGGAATAGCAGAAGAAAAAAAGGCAGGACAAAAAACTTTGGATTTTTCTTTCTTCAGGTGTATGCAGAAGTGATGATGTTATGAGAAAAATTCTGTAAAAATAAACACATTTGATAAATTTAGGTCCGGGGAGAAATTATTATATGATCATAAAAATACAGAAGCTTAACTGCCTAAGTTTGCTAGTTTTATTAAATTTAAAACATCACCTACCATAATATAACATAATTTTATCAGACATGATATATGAATAAAAAAATACTGAAATCCATTTCTTAGAGAAAAAAATAAAAACACAGTATATTAAAATTGATAAGTAGAAGGAATTTGTGTATGTCTGTGTTGGAAACAAACATTTTCAGCAGGTATGAGAATTACTTACTTAAAACTATCAGGCTGAGGAACTCCACACATGTTAAAACTATGCGTATCAATGTGAAACTATTTCTTAAGAAGCTTGGCAACTTTTATAAAATTGTCAGAATGAAGCAAAGCTACCATTTTGCCAAATTTATTCTTTTAAATGGATTTGCAAGATACATGAAAACAGAGCATCTGTCCCATTCATAGGTATTTGTAACAGTTCACGGTCATAAATCCCAAGGGATGGAGAAGGACGAATAGGGGACAAAGTAAGTTGGGATGTTACACAAAAACCATCACCACCCGGCTCTTCCGACTGCCCTGGCCTGCACTTGGAACAGATACTCTGGTAGGAAAAGGCTTGTTCCCAGCAGCAATGGTAAATCTAGATGTCACAGCGATCTGCTTTGGGGAGTGACACTGACTATTATGTACAACACTGGCTGGCTTTGGGCTTCCTCATTTCATTAAACAGAAATGTAGCTTATATTTTTAACAGGGTTTCTGTGACATTAGTAACTTCCCCACCAGCACCCAAAAAACACATTTGTAAACAAAAATATCAAGTGAATTCTGGTGCTGAAGAGGACAATCTCCAAACCCAGAAGCTCTCACAAAGTTTATCTTTAACATTAACTATGATAGTATTATGACGAGGAAGGTATCCTAACACTTTATGGTTTTAGAAGAGAATTTTCATACACTGAAGTTGTATAAAACATTTACAAACATAGATATGTAAAAACACTGAATTCTTTTTAGCTGGTGTTACAGATGCTCGATATTTAGTTTCTAGGTATATTTTTGTATACATCTATCTTAAGTTATGAGTAAGAGACAGACAAAACAAAGTAACAATGCAGTACTCTAAAGCTTTCTAACTCCTTCTTCTCTCATTCATTGCTGGTGTAATGTTGGACTGAGCTGTGCTTCCCTTTCTAGCCCGCTTTCTCAAATATACTGCCCCTACAGTAGAGGAAAGTATGTAGTTTGTTTGGTTCAAGGGCCTTTTCTGAACTGAGTTCCACTGGGGAGGGAATCTTTCACATTTCTTCTTCCAGTTCTGACTGAGTTGCAGGCTGCCAACAGGGAAAGGCTCACAAATAAAGCGATTAATTAAATATTTTAGATAAAGGATAATGTTTTAATCATAGCATTTTCCCTTTCTCAACTTCTTCAATAAAGGCAAAAGACCTACTAATTATAATTCTTCAGCAATAATTAATAATTGACTATGCTAAGAAAAGTCTTTCAATATACAGTATTTTATTGGGAATATGCTTATAATGCCAGACTACAGAACTAGACAAGAGAATCTACACATTTAGAAGAGTACTAAATTCTAAGCTTAAGTTACTTTAAACAGGAAAAAGTCTTATCTAAATGTTTTTACACATTAGAGAATAAGAACAATTAATAACATTTTTAGTCAAGCCAAATAAAAAGCTTTACAAGCTAACATATACATAATTATCCATCGAATATGAATAATGAGGAGTAAAATAATGAGAGCTACAGTTCAATTCTTTGCACGCAGAAAATTTATGAGCCACCTGCATATTATGAAATATCTTAGTTTGGTCATCTTTGTTCTATTCAAAATGAGTTCTAGAGGATACTTTTTGTTCAGCCAGACAGAAGGCAATCAAGTTATTCAAAGGAACATTATAAACAGAATTCAGAATCTAGCTTCAGAGATTCCTGCCATTAAATTATTGTTAAGGAGCAAGCAGGATATAGTCAAGTACAATGATAAACTATTAAAACAAGTTTAAAATATAAATTTTGCATTTAATCAATACCAATGCAGAAAGAGGACCTTTACTCACTTACTATAATTTATTTCTCCTGATGTAGAGCTTCAATAAAAGCATCAAGTTTTTCTTGAATTTCTCTAACTTTCTCTGTAGAGATAAAAAGAAATAAATTAAAAACAAATTTATTTTTCAAAGACATCACAAATCATAGGAGATAATTATTTTATTCAATAAATGGTCTGGATACTTTTAACTATTTGGGAAAAGGGGAAAAACTTTAGCATCACAGACCACCTTATATCCAAATAAAGTTAAAATGGATTGTAGCGTAGCTCTTAACATTTTTTTTTGGAAAGGGTAAGAAAGCAGGGTTTATGACAAGATCCCTTTGAGATTCCAATGAAAGTTACACAGAAAAATGCATGTATAAATATATATACAGTTGTGTACAGAATTTTAAGGAGTTCTCGGATTCTCTGGAATCCAGCCATGGACTCACAGTTAGCAATATCTGGAACAGAAGAAAATATAAAATAATGAAACCATTTTTAAAAATTAAAAGAGAATACAGGTGAGTATTTAAACTGGCCTTAGACTAGGAAATGACTTTCTAGGCATAACGTAATGAGAAGAGTTACAAAGGAAAAGATCAATCAGTATGATCACATTAAAATGTATATCTTATATGTCAAAATGTCCTAAAATTAAAAGACAAAAAAAATTGTAGGAAATATTTGCAACAAACATGAAAAGGGCAAAAATACATACAAAAATGTTCTGTCCTAGCTGTGAATGAAGAAAGGAAAGTTTAAAAACACCAGAGCCATAAAAGACAGATTTAACATAATTTTATTTGATTTTAGGTTTTCATGTTTAGAAACTTCCAAATAAAATTTATACTTTCTCTCTGAAATGTAAAGATTTCCTTCACAAATGCAAACTATTCACAGTACATGTTAATTAATCTCTTAGTATTAAAAATGGAAAAGCTAATTTATTCTCCTTACTTCACTGCTAACTTAATCATGCAACTATTATTTTAAAATATAGGTTATAGTAGGCATAGTAACAAATATTTTTGTCCTTTTAACACAATTTATTAAGTGGGAATTAATGATTAATTTGAAGTGACGGGTTCAAAGCTAGTGATCTAGACGGAAAACTGAAAAGCATTCTACTTTATAGAAAAATCATATAAGATGCATTAATATTCAACATTTACATCTTATATATTTAAAAATAAATAATATGCCATTAAAGGTATACGTATTCCTTTTCAGCAGTGAGACACACCTGTGATGAGTGCCCGATGAAAGGGAGGGCTGTCCTTTTATGATTTCTTATTAGCATTACAGGGACTCAGCAAAGCCTACCATGGTTGCATATAAAGAAAATAATGTCTTCATACTCTTTTTAAACAGTAATTTAACAGTTCTAATTCTTAGCGTTTTAAGACTAACACAAAAATCTATGAGAAAACAAACCCTATTGTTTTAATCAAACTATTCACTGAGAAAAATATAATTTTTACAAAGGCAGCATTAATATTCTTACATATAAAATTAAACTACACAAACTAGAAAAAAATATCCCCAACCCATCTCTTGGAAGTTTAGTTAGTATTTTTTGTTAGTCTGTATTTTTGTTTTTAACCAGCAGTCAGACTTTCTTTCTCAAAATAAGGCCACTTTCTTATTTTTAAAATTAATTCATCTAGCTGCTTAGAAACAGCTTTGGCTATTTTCTTCAATGAATAATTAGGGAATGCCACATCGTACAGTTCATCAGTTGAATTTTTAAAACAGGAAAGGATAGGAGAAAAAAAAGTTTTGTAAGCTGTCTCATGAATTTTGGAAATGTATTGGGGGGGGTGGTCTTTAAAACAGTCATCTAGCTTAAATAAATAGCACAACACATGGAAATCTAAAACACGTGTCAAGAGCCTCAGCAGCTTCTCTAAACATCCACTGAGAACTATTTCTCCTTGGGAAAGCTGTACTGTACGCAGAGCGGAAACCTGATTCTATTTGCTCCCTGATCTGAGTACAATCAGGCAGCTGTGGGCTAGCTCTGTCCATCCTTTGCCCTGTCAGTGACCTCCATCCGCAGGGACAGACTATCTATCTGTGAGTGGGTGGCACAGTAGCATCACTCATAAAGAGACTGTTCAGACCAGATCTATTTCTATTGAAAGAGACCAGGAGCTGCTCCGATGCAGGTATCTAACTGTAGAGTTGAAATCAAATTCAAATGCTTCCAAAATTAAAGTCGTGTTTTTTCTAAATGAAAGTAAAAGGAGTATTTAACTAACTTTTATATGAAAACCACAGAATAAAAAAAATTCCCAATTTCCCTTAAAAAGCTCTTTTTACAAATATTTTACAATATGAATATCAGGACACTGTACCACCATGTCCTGAGACCTCAAGGATGACACAAAGGGCAGTTAAGTTAGGATCTAGGAAGTAATGGGGAGAAGCGGACGAGAGGATGGAGGTGTGATAAATGTATCCTTCTGGCTCCAAATATAACAATTCATTTTCTGGTTCATTCCTTCCCTTCCACAATATACTTAAGGAGTGACATGGGGACACAGATGGTATCCTGCCTTCGAGGAGAATTCCTTGCTTACTCTCTACCTCATTCTAAGTCTAGTGTATCTACTATGGTTTGAGTGATTTCCAATCCCACATTTCATTTGGTCCTCATCCAAATTTACAGGCGTCACTGCCACAGGTGAGGACATTAAGCTTGGAGAGTGGCCTTATCCACATTCCTCTGAATCAGAAACGCACACTAGATCTGCTGCCATATAGTAACAAAATAGTAACTCTATTTTAGTAACAAACTCTAAATAGTAACAAAACAAATGCTACTATTCAAGTGTTTTTGTTATGTTTTACCTTTTATGTGAAATTAGACATATTGTGGTAAAAATTAGGGAATGGAATAGTTACCAGCACCTCCTAAATACTTCTGTGCCTAGGGATGACTAAAAAACGTTCAATACATTATCATCCTCCGATGAATATTATTACCACTTATGCACACTGGATCTACACACATTTAGAGAAACCCCTGAGAACAATAAAAAGTTCAGCATCTTCAGTGTCTACAACAATGTCTGACTCAACCGTTACACATGTTCAATACTTGATAAATGATAAATGAAGTTCC